GCGCAACTGCAGTGTGCTATACAAATCTAGTTATTTATGGGAGCGGACCTAGTGTTTACACGGTGAAGAGCCTTTACACTCGCCGACTTACTCCGTCCGACTCAGCAGGATTGTCGTTTGCACTTAATTATTTTATGAAACGAAAATAATTTTTTTTTATACTTAATTACTAAGGAACTAAATGTTGTTTGAGACATTATCCAGTTTTTACCTATAAAAAAGCAAATAGTCAAGTACCTCTTTATCACTGTCTGGGTTTGGAATTGTGCCCAACGTTTAAAGCATGAAAGTCTTTGAGTAGGTATGTGTGGTAGGCAAGTGTATATGTTACAGCCAAAGTGATTAAATTGATATTATTTATAATGACTAGTCATTATACATAATAACCAAATTGCAACCAAATAACAGATATTATAAATAACTAGCTTCTGCCCGCAACTTCGTACGCGTAATCCTGTTTTTCCCGGAAACTAAAACTAAACTTTTTTTTTTTCGAACGGGATAAAAAGTATCTTATGTCCGTCTCCTGGCTCTAAGCTACCTCCATACCAATTTTTAGCTAAATCTGTTCTGCCGTTCTTGAGTTATAAGTGGTGTAACTAACACGACTTTCTTTTATATATATAGATAGCAGACTCAAGAATGCCTCGTTGACTGAGTGGTCGCAAGTGCGACTGCCGGGCAAGGGGTCCTGTCGGGTAGGGCAAAGTATTACTGGGTTTTTAAAAAATTCTCAATAGTAGCACGGAGTCTGGAATTGTGCCCGGTGTATGGCAATAGGCTCACCTCCTATTACATGGGACCCATAACATAAATAGTGAAAACTGGTTGTAACATTAAACAATGACATAATGTGCACCTCTGCCTACCCCTTCGGGAATGAAAGGCAGGATGTTATGTTATGTGGCAGGCTCAAGTTAATTAAAGTGATCAATACGATCTAACGGCCCAGACACGAGTGCGGTCTTAGCGGTGAGCCGAAATGAATACGGCCAGTCAAAATGTGCCGCTGCTCGAAATGTTCAAATGTTTGTTTTCGAGGGTGGTAAAAATGGTGGTACTGTTAAAATGTAAATGCAAGTTGGGGGATGCACGACATTTTCAATTTATAGTCATTGGTTTCGTTTTCATAGTTTTCGAGGATGGTAAAACCGATGGTGCTGTCAAAATGGAAATCCAAGATGGCCGGTGCCCGAAATTTTCAATTTATCGACATGGGTATCGTTTTCATGGTTTTCGAGAGTGGTAATAATGATGGTGCTGCCAAAATACAAATCCAAGATGGCAGCTGCACGAAATTTTCAATGTAATCTCATAGATCAGCATGCGGCGTATGACCCATTGCATGCAGCGCTGATCTATGAGATTGCATGAAACAGCACGCCACGCGGGCGCATATGCACAGCCGTCACCACTTGTACGACGATATTTAAGACACAATAGAAAACGCATTGTGTCTAGGGTGGTTCTACGCTCCGACCTACCAGAGGTTAATGAAGAAGTTTACAAGTTTTGCCTTTGAACACGAATTTAATTTAAAAGTGCATCTGAATTACTCGGCGTTTCACGTCAAAAATCCAACTTTGTTTTTTTTATTACTAATAATAATTTCAGTATATTGTACCTAATAACTTATTACGATAATGGTCTAATAATCCTATGTAGGAATACGTAGAAAAGGCTCACTGTCTCTATCTGGTGAAGGCAAACCGAATAACACTTATAATCTATCGCATCACTGTTCGAGTGGCAGCAGGTCTAATAATTTCTGTAACTAATTGCACCTGCTGTCAGTTAACTGAGTACGACAGGTAAATGAAACAATACAGGGTTTCATAATGATTAGGACCTTGTTAGTATTGTACGGATTAGGTAAGTATTAAATAGTCTACAAATAATGTTTCTGTGCTGTAAATTTGTTTTTATTTTAATGCTACCAGATATGACCTTAAACGACGGAGGTTATCAACGTAATTTATCTTTTGCTGTCTCGTCTAGCGGGTAAACACCCGTTCAGACCTTTGGAAAGTAATAATCGTGGTGTCATGAGACGTTGGACGGGTTCCACCGTCTAAGTGTCTACAATTTCAAAAAAAGAAGCCTTCGTTTTTGCAGCTACAACGTTTTATTGCCTTAACCAGTTAGGTGGTAGATAGGTCTTTTTGAGTGGCAAACTCATCCAATGCGTATGACTCTTACTGACTAAATAGTTCCTCGTTTCCCGGTAATCCGAGCCCCATTAATCCGCAAAATTATCCGCAACCCCGGTAAACGTTATAAATTCCTTAAAATAGGGGGTGAGGGTGAGCAAAGGGATATAATGTCGTAAGTACCGGGAAAAATCCTAAATTATGCTATATATTACTGAGAAAACTTGTAAAATCTTGTAATCTCATTTCACAGGACGTGATTTAACCCAAAATCGGTTGCCCCACATTTGCATTTGCAGTTGACTAATGAGACTGTTATGTCGTAAGTATTCATTACTGATCAGCATTTTTTTTCTATTGCAGCAGTAGTTCTTAGGGAATCTCCGATCGGACGCAAAATGGGAAAAATCTGGTGTATAAAAATTGTGCGGATATCAAACTTTCGACACGTGTAAATGCTCCTAGCGTATTACTGCATCCCCTCCCGACAGTGAGGGACGGGGTAAAACAGGAGAGGTGTGAGGGATTTATTGATCGAATCTCTTGATATGGAGATACTATCTACAGTGAAATATTGCGTCGAATGTTCTAGAAGGATAATAACCTCCTTCGAACATTAACGTCGTAACGAGCCGCCCGACCTAATTAAAATATAAAATTCGGGATAAATCGTTAGCGGTGTCGCGTTTCATAGAAATTGTACGTTGCCAACCAGTACAATGGCAGAAATCTGGCACATTAATAATTTGGTAAGACTGTATAACATTATGCATGTTATTTCTCAAAATTGTAGATAAAGGTGTTCCCCTTTTTCCCCACTTTCAGCCACAATGGTATTAGACTCGTTTCTCTGGGTATTGTACCTATCTTATATTGCATGCAACCTCAAAATTTCACCCTTAGTTAACATTTCTAAGTCAAAAGACTCAGTGAGCCATAGACATTGCCTGACCTGAGGATTAATAATAGGACTTAATATCAGCAGTCATAGCTCATAACGAACGCAATATCTAGGTTCGAGGCAGTTAAGCAATTATAACCTTAAAAGGGTTGAGGTGAGTTCTTGCTCTAAAATAACTTCTTGCTATATAATAAGTCATTCTAAATTATTTAAATTTATGTAAATATGAAAATGAAATGAAATTAATTTGCATTTGACCTAAAAACTTTGGTAGGTAGGTTACTTATATAGGCCATGAATGACTTATTAGCTCCTCATCAGGCAGTCAATAGACTCAATTAGGTAGATATGCAATGTTGATGCCTTCAGTTACCTGGATTGGAAAGTACAACCTTTCCTGTCCATTTAACTGTATAACATGCAACTGCAATAGGTAAATATCAGAACATGGAGTTGAGAAGCACAACTTCTTGATGCTTATTTTTAGGGTAGGTAATCACAAACCAACAAACCTATTTGATTATAGTTACAAGCAGACATATAGGCTAATTTTCCTCTGACCGTGAATTATTTATTCATGATTATACTGTCTTCCTAATTTGTACTTAAATTACTTATTTTTCTTCACTAGGGACACAATTAATTATTCATCTCTACTGACCATGTTAGGATGCCCACGGTTATGGATCAAGATCATCATCCGGGAACATCATTATAACCAATTTCGACAGGATAGGTAGATATATTTTGTTTATAATTAATAAATAATATATTATACCACTATTATATTAACTCATGTCTAAATTGAACTTAATCACCAGCTACTTTCATCTCTACACTATTTAAAAGAGAATTCCTCAGGCGTTTGGTACACCTGTACAAAATTTTTATATTAAGTTTAATAACTACTACACTTATATATAATCCAAACTTTGAAAATGTTTGATAAATAAAATAGATTCTACATATAAATAAATCCTTTATTACCAAAATATCACATTATGACACCATTTGAACTTATGTTTCTTATTAAAAGTTAAACTTAAAATGAAACCAACACCATAACCACCATTTAGAAATTACATCACAACATTTTCTGACATTGAGCAAGAATTATAACTCATATATAAAATAAATGCTGCTACTATACATATATTTTAATAAATAAATAACAAAAATGACACTTTCTCAAAAAATTAAATTAATGTACTTTCGATAGTAATCTTGTCTTTATTTATACATATGTATTATACAATACAGATATAAATACAGGATACAAAACAGAATGTATCGACTTTAATGTATTAAACATACACAGAGGCATGATTAGCGATAATATGTAAATATTTTATTTATGTATATTTTAAGTTGTATTTATTTAATTTAAATTCTTATTAAAAATAAAAGATCAGATCTTATCTATTACTCGAGTATCATGACCTAGTGTCATGGTTCATTTACTGGGTTTAAATTTAAATATATTATTACAAAAGCATTAATTATCAATAAATTGTACAGTGTGTAATTCAAACTTTTGAATATATAATATAGAAAGTGTTTGGAGTGTAGACATAAAACTAACTGAATTCAGTAAATTAACCTTTCAAATTATATACCTTTTCATAAACTACTTTTTATACGAGACTCTAGTTCGGACATGAATATGACATGGCAAAAGTTCAAAAACCTCATATCATTGGATGTTGGTCCAATGATATAATGATATCCTTAAACAACAACAATTATACAACAAATTAATTAAAATCCCAAGTAACAATTTTTAATTTTATATATAAATTGTGATATAAGTATACATTTCTGGTAATAAATAGAAAGTTATAAAGAAATTATAAATGCACTTTCATAAATAGATACTGAATAATTTCATTATAAAATGAATCAAATAATGATACAGAGCATTAACTCGTTGAGTACCGTCATTATAGACACAATTAGAGAACAATAGGTTGCGGTCACCGGTGTCCTCGCGGTGTTTGACAGTTTAATGTTAAATATTAATTCAAGACCACCATTTTATACATTCTATTCAATAATATTCAAAAATAAATAAATATAGTAACTCAATTATATTTAATTTTAATGTGGCTACCATACATAATAACACAATATTTATTTAATAAGTTTTCTAACTCAATTCCGACCCAATTACTTAACTACTTCTCAGAGATCAATAAATCAAATAAAAAATATAAAAACTATATTACAAGCTCACCATAAAATACCAGCACCTCTTTATTTGTTCAATCTGTATGTGCATGATTACAGAGCTATGCCTCTGAAATAGTCATAGCGGTAACGCCGCTGATCTTGTAGCTGTCCAATCTTGGATGCTGTATCACAATCACGACATACTCCACAAAATGTGCTAGTAACCATGTGGAATGGGCTGCGGTAATAAAGATTTGGATCTTTAAGCTTTTTATTCTTCTTGTGGCAGCGCACATGTAAAAATACCTCAAGTACCATAAGTATCACACAAAAAAGGCCAGGAAAAATCATCAATGTTGGTATCAACAGCAGACGATGACTAGTTCTGTTAGAACCAGCAAGTATGTTCTCTTTCAGTGATTGGAATTTTTTCGTCTTACTCATATAACCGCGAGGGAACTTAATATACTTGGCCTCGAGTTCACGTGCATCAAGAGGTTGTCTTTCATTATCAAACGGCGGCGATTTATTTTCAAGCAACAATTCACCAGTTTCATCATTCACATCGTAGGTTATAATTTCACCTGTCTCATCGTCGTAGTACAACTTTCGTACAGTACCTCTGCTTGTTATATTCATTTCTGTAAATAGAACACGATAAATTAAATATTCAGTTTCATTAATTATTTATTCATGGACACTTTAGTGCCAACCAACTGTAAGTAAGTAAAAAATTGAATTCAAGTACCTGATTTTTAAACTTTGAAGTTTTTTAAGGAGGGCTACTAAATTTTTCTACTTCGATTTAACCATCGCCAGTTTTCGAAAAATAAATGAAAATCGGGGCTTTCACAACGGCCATTCAAAATTTTAAAATTATTGACTTTGACCGTTTGACGTCGCTGACGGAACTATAGACAAAAGCATTGTGCCAGTACTGCCAGTGCCATTGTCTTTTTTTATTAGACGTCGTTACATCGTCGTTACAATAAATCAATGAGGCCGCAACCAAATAAAATAAATTCAAAACAAACCGCTAATAAATGTTCAATGTTAACAATCCTTATTTTAGATATATATAAGATAATTTAGTTTGTAAGTTCTTCACCTAATATATAAATAAACAGTAATACGATTATACGATATATATAGATTCTTACCATACAATTTGATAAAATTAATCCAGCTTTTTGTTTTATTGAAAATCACTTTATATTCGAAATTCAATCGGTCGAGCTCCACTCCGAATTGTTCTTTTGCACTATTTAATAAACGTCTTCCATTTACTTAAATTGAAATCTCGTACCTTTACTATTCGCAAAACAAACTCGATCACAATTGGAGACACTCTAATTCAAAATACTTTCAATTCGAGTTTCATTGGGGTTTGCCTTAGCCAAAATGCCAATGTTGCCATAATATGAAAGTTGTTAGCAAAGACCTTAAACTATTTTATTATAGGTCTTTGGTTGTTAGTAACTCAATCATTAATCGTCATTCATACAAACTAAGTTGTACAACTTTTGTGATAAGTTATGTTTCATTACCACAAATATGTATTATAAATATTATCATATTATCGATATCGAACTGTAAATCGCAAAATCTAGTGTAAAGCAATAAAGCATCGTGGCCAGATCCAGTATACCGATACGTTATGTTTCTTTAGAAAGTGCTTATGAATAAACTAATGAAAATAAAAACTGATGAATATTTAAATATGCACGTAATTGATCTAAAATAATAATGAATATGCCAAATCCTTGTACCTACTCAAAATTATACATTTCATTTCAAACGTTGTTAATAATTAAAATAAAGCCACATAAGCATGAACTATAAAGTACAACACATTAATTCTGACGACGTTCTACTAACACTAATAATGTTAGTTTGTGAGTTGTCACTTGTCACAGAGATCTAACCATATTCTATGGACTATAAAATGTACTTACTACATTTACTGAGCTCTATTAACCCGTTGTGGAAGTCTCCCTTTTATCTCGCGATTGGCTAAATGAATTTTGATGCGGCTTACAGAAACGTATTTGTTACGCATAAAAGAAGGTTCTAGTATTTTAATTAACTGGATTTAAAAAGAGGGTCTTGCCGTCGGTAAACCTTGATGTCGTGAAAAACCGACTATAAACTATGTTTAAAGAATTAAACACAGTTTATAGTCGGTTTTTAAGTAGCCAAATAGGTATATGTATAAAGATTTTATAAATATGTTATTTATCCACAAACGGATAGATGGACGGATAGCGGAGTCTTAGATAAAGGGTTCCTGGTGTTACCCTTTAGGTACGAAACTATCAAAATATTTCTTCTACTTAGTCATCATTAAAAAACAAAGTTTCTTACTCTTTGATTTCATCCATAGACATTGAGGTGTTTTTTTAATTGCTTGTCTATGCATACAGAATATAATACAATAGCTGTATATTATCTATGTATCTACCTATCTGCAAACGAGTTGACGAGAATTTTAGTCACGTTTTATTTTTCACTTCATGGAACGTTAAATAAATTGTTATTTAAAGTTGTGTTTCTAAGTATAGAAGACGAAAACGATCTGAACGATCCTTCGGCACAGCTGAAAATCCCAGTTTCTGTCACCGAAGTGTACACACAACTAGTTGTTTGAGAGGTACTGATTACCATGTATGTTTGTGAAGATTTTCTTAATTTACTGTTTAGATACACAAATATTCACATATTATAACCTCAAATGCCTATTATATTCGCGACTTTGATAATTACGTATCAAGTCATGAGTTGTTATGATAAAAATGGCTGATGTTTCACTTATTTTCTTAGTTGTTTAGGTACTTCTCATGACTATGCCTAACTTTGCTTTCTCTTTTATTGATACTAGTGTCTGACAAGTTATAGTTATGATGTTTATAGTCTTCTATTAGATTAGATTGTTATTGTCATGACAGGATATTATTTTCATTAACATTTCATCTAAAAGAGTAAGTTTTTGACATGAAAATAAAGAACATTTCAATAATTATGTTCAATACTAGTTTTATTTACTCTACCTGTCTCATGAACTACTCTTAGATGTTAGGCACTGACTGCTCTGCTAAGCCTCGAGCAAGAGGCTCATTTATAGCCTTAAGCACTTTGTGATTAACATAAATTCTTGAACGTCTCCAATATTTAACTGTTACACTCATTGTATGATATTTACATTCTGATTAGACTTAGACCATTTGTCAAAATAGTCATTGCTAACCACTAATTACAAAATGTGTGAATCAATCTTCATTTTTAGTAGATTGTTCATACAACTAACCAATGTCATTGAAATTGGTTCATAATTTCTGCTGTAAGAGAATAGATAACTAGTACTGCTTTGTGATCAGTTGTATTCATTGTTCATTTAAGAATTCATCAATACTGAGTGGCATATACTGCAAAAGTACTTATATTGAATTATGAGAACCAGTAGTTGCAGGGTAACACTTTATTATGTCAAATTAAATAGTTACAATTTGATCTGTTAATAAATTATGAGATTTTACCTGCATTAAAGCTACCAATATTTCTTGGCTTGGCTATTGCAAATATAATTCACCAGTTTATATTCTGTGCGAGTGTTTTTTCTCCGGCTGAGCTGGTATAGTGTTGGGAAATTACATATATAGCAGTTTACTCTTCAATTATTTCAGTTTTCTATGCCTACTGAGGGAAGTTTTTCTCAATAAGTTTTTTTTTAAATAATCAATACAGTGATTCACCTTAAGCCTATTTATTATAAACACTGCTGGCTAAAAACTTCTTATATTATGCATAGCTTTGATATTCACTGATTTTAGATATTTACTAGTATTTGTAAACATTCTTTACAGCAATGGAAACACAATAATTCCGATGTGAAACTGTTTTGTAATTCTATTCTCAAAGAAAAGAAAAGAGTCATCACAGTAACTTTGACTTTGTATGAATCTACAGCTGCGAAAGTTTATTGAAATATGTTAGTGGACATTATCATTCTGTGCAAACAATCCCCTCATGCCTATAAGTTTCTTCTAAAAGAAATTTTCTTAATATCTTTGTCATATGAATTGTAACCATTTCACAAAACTATTTTTGCTAAATACTGTAGCTTTTGCTAATGTATATAAAATTATTAGCAATATTTTATCTAATAAGCGATAGTATTAATCATGGTAAACAGCATTTAACTTATTGTCCATTAAAATTTCTATTTATGCTACTGGTTGTATAATAATATGTATTGTTATGTTTATATTGCTGCACTAGCGACTTGCACTTGTCATACGAGTTTCTTAACTGTAGTATGCATATTATATATTACTAGCGACCCGCCCCGGCTTCGCACGGGTGCAATATGCATGTATTATACATACAGACCTTCCTTAAGAATCACTCTATCTATTAAAAAAAACCGCATCAAAATCCGTTGCGTAGTTTTAAAGATCTAAGCATACATACGGACATACAGCGAAAGCGACTTTGTTTTATACTATGTATTGATGTAGTTTATAAATATAAGCATTCTTTTTGAATCACTATCTATTAAAAAGAAATACATCAAAATCCAGTGCATAGTTTTTAAGTTCTCAGCGTTATTGTTCTTAGTAAAATTTTTTAAATTATGCCTTACGTTGGGCAATAGTCGGTGAGCCATATAAAAGTAGAGCTAATAATAAGTACCTCGTGACTGCTTATATAAATTAGGGAATCCGGGTGGCAACAGTAAAGAAATAAATATTGTTTTAGAAAGTCACATGGCTTTGGGTTTAGCAACTTTTGAGGAAAATTTTGCAATCTTTTTTCCTTAAAGGATGTAAAGGGTAGGGAAAATTATATAAGCACCCCAATACCAATAGGGAACAATGTTTCTCGCTGACTAACAACCAGTCGGAATTATCCATCCGTCGGATGAGTTGCCTGCTAAGAGTAGAGCTAATATCCATCTCGCGATAAAGTGTGCATTAAGTATTTAATAAGTTTTCTTTCTATGTTACAGCTATCTGGAGAGCGGTTCCGGTACATAATAAAAATGGGAAAAGAGTAAGTTAAACCTTATTTTTATTATTATCTACTCATTTTTATCAGAACATTCAATTATTTCGTTTGTAATAGTATTGGTACTAAATTTTATTTCCCTATTTTATGTGTAAGTCTCATAAATATAGTTATTTAGTGTAATGTGAAACTGGTACAAGTTATGTATCACATTATAGGTAGTCACAATAATATAATTACTTAGCTGAAGGGGGTCTTGATATGTTAAAAGTTTTTATTGCCACATTTTATCTAATACTTATCCTAAGTTCATTTGGGACGGGAGCAAACAAACAGAGCCAGCCACTAGTGATTATTTCATTTCTTGATAAAAATTTCTGTTATATTAATAATTTCAGGCCAGTTGCAGGTTTGTGTTATATCAAATTTCGTTCCCTTAGTTTCCTCTCACTCTCCAGTTACCAATTTTGATTCCCTGCATGTCACGGAGCTGTAGCTGGAGCTGAACTGTTCTAGGTCTACAAACATAGGTTGCAGTCTATAGATGCTCCTTGTATACTTTTTTATCCTTAACCGACTCAAATGTAGCCTGCGAGCCACTTCACGTTGTGCGCGCTCTGCCTCTTCACGTTGTGCGCGCGCCTGCTTTCAGTAAAGTGACAATTTGAGCCGTCTCCTCAAGTGTAGAATCTATTTCGTTACAATTCATGGTTACTGAAACACTCATGCAGACCACGACCATCCTTCAATGCAAAGACGATAAACAAAACCACTTTTCAGACTTTTAAGCGGAGCGCAAATAGATTATCACAAACAAGTGAACAGCGCAAATTTTAAATAATTAATTTTTCAACAAAATACCCTCATTTTCAAGGCAATTAAATTGCCTTTCATATTCATATGGTAGGTTACCGATTAATGAAATACTTAGGTATAACCGGAAATATTTATCTAGAGCTGAAAGCGTTGCTAGTGAGCGTTTCCTCGCTCGAGAGAGTACATTTTTGGCTGGTGAATGATCTCAGGTCTCCCAGAGGTCTCCTTAGTAATATCATCTATTTACCTATGTACAAACTCTTTAGTGGGAAACTTAATTATAGTCTATGTACCTATGGCTCTCTTGACTTCTTCAACAATATTTGACATTTGTCAGTTTGTACATAAATAGAATAGAAAATATAAATAATTCATGTTTTGATATAAAAATAAACTAAATAAAAAATCAGAGACATGGTCTAGATTTTCGTAAATCTTTATCTCAACATCAATTATGAGCGGCTCAGATTATGATATAAATATTGTTATCAAATTAGAAAAATCCCCTAAAGCAGAAGCAAGGTATCGAAGGTTAAATTCCTGGGTTGCGTGATTAGTAAATGAATTTATTGTTATGTGCAATCGAAATACAGACTCCGAAATCAATGACCAAACCTTTGTTAATATTGTTTTTGTTTTAGTAATGTAGAGTACCAGTAAAGTAGAGTACCCACATAAAATATAAGACATGTAATATACATCTAGTTGGTAAGGTGGCCATTATGTGAATTATTATGGCTTATATTATGCTCGAGACATTCTGAATATTGTTTACAGTTTATAAAGACTGTATGTCTTGAAGTAATCTAGAATCTTTTTCTGCCTATCCGGGGCATTTCAAGCGAAGATTTTTCTAATCAATACTGTCAATATTTTGCTTATCTGGGACCACTGTTTACGAGAAATGGAAAGTATGAGTGAAAGGTTGAAAGCGGGAAATAGTATTAATGGGGCTCTACACTCTGTAATGTCGAGTAAACTCATATTCGGCAAAGCTCGACTAGCTGTAATACAGCGTGTACTGACACCAACACCAAAGCTTATGTATGGTAGTGAATGTGGGTGTTGCAGAAGCAGGATTAATGCGGTGGAAATGAGAGCCTTGAGAAGTATGTGTAGAGTAAAACTTAGTGATCGAGTGATTATCTTTCAATCCACACCGAAAGGTGTTTATAATTAAATGACAAGAATTGAAAAGGGAATGTTACGATAGTTTGGGCTGTAGGAAGGATGGAAGGCAGAGTTACGAAAGAAGTATATCGCAAATATGAATAGGGCCGTCCATAGAGGACGCCCTAGACGGACATATGTAGTCGCGGAGAACCTAACGGATAACCGGGGCTCCGGCTCGACGTGCAGGAAAAGGTACGGGGTGGTTTTTAGTCAGTAAGAGTCTGACACTCCCTCCCGCCTCACCCAGGCGGGAGCAGTCATTCGATGATTTTCCCCCCTTAAAAAAAGACTGACATATGTCTACCAGATTGGCGATATATTAAAGAAAAGCTAAATTAAAAGTACCCTTAACCGACGAGCATCCAGGAAAGACTGATGACTGTTGATGAAACAAAAGAGGTATGCAAGAATAGTAGCAATTGGCGTTCTATAGTCTCTACCTACCCCCGTGGGAGACAGCTGTGAGGTTATATATGATGATATATTGTATAATTATAGTTACTTCGTAAGTCGTAACCCATGACTTTAACTTCTGATTTGAGCCATTGCTGATTATTAAATCTGACGTTACAGACTTGTTCAATGTCTTGTGAATGGAAAAGAGTTGGAATCAGCGCAAGATAATGTTAGAGTAAGTATATAAAATTATACATACAAACTTATTTGTTTACAGCAAGAAATTGGAGGCAGAGAGATCTGCAAACGGCGACAGCGTGGACGACGAAACCAGAAAGAAGAAGAAAAGTAAGAAACATAAGAAACATAAACGCACTTCAGAAGAGTCTGGAGAAAAGTCACATAAGAAGAAAAAGAAATCCAAGAAAGAGAAATACAAGAGTCCAAAGGAAGAGAGTGAGACGTCATTGTCAGACGTCGAGGAGCTTATAAAGAAAGGACGCCATCAGCTGAAGAGACCAAACCTCATAGTAACAACCAACACAAGAAATGGGGATTCTTCAGGCAAAGGTCTATTTCATGGCAAATCCTACGTACGGAAGGTTGAAAAACAAGAGACCTTAGAAATTTTATCTTCTAACTCTGAGACTGAAAACTACCAAGAAGACTGCGCTAGTCCTGAGCTGATGCTAATAGAAGACGATTTGAACCTTGAGGATCTAATGAAGCAAAAAGAATTACTTCAAGCCCGTCTCATTGCTTACTGCTCTGAAAAGAGTGATGATGAAGCTAATAAAGAAGACAAATTTAATGAAGTCATTTGTATAAATGATGATACACGATCACCAATCATTAAGAAATCAAGAAAAGACAAAGATCATGAACACAAAAGAAGCGGAAAGCACAAATCCAGTAAAGATCACTCGACAGAAAGAGAAAAACATAAGACTAAAAGACATGAGGAAGATTTGCGTGAAATTATCAACAGAGAAAGTAAAAAGCAAATGGAACGTCGATTGGAGGAAAGAGAGGGTAGAGAAAGAAAAGAAAAAGAACGTCGAAAGATAGAAGACAAAGAACGAGAAAGAAGGAGAGAGCGTGAGAGAGAAAGAGAAATTAGGGAACGGGAGCGAGAACGGGAACGGGAAAAAGAGCGCCGATCGATGGAAGCTAGGCGAAGGGGAGAACGAGAGCTTTTGCGAATAACACGACGGTCGCGAGAACGATCGCCGCAAGGTACTCGAAGAGATCAGAGGGCCGGGGACCGCGAGCGACGATCTCGCGAGCGTGTGCTAGATAGACGCGACAAATTCTCACGATCGGATTTACGGGGCTTCAAGGTAAAACACAAAAACATAACAGGTCATTTAGAAGACCACAATAAGCTTTTGAGCTATTTTTGGTTTGGTATAATTTTGGTGGTTAAAACTGTTAGTTTCTTTATTGAATCGATTACATTAAGAAGCACAATATAATCAGCAGATCAATTGTTAAGTTACATGACAAGTTGGACAATGCTTTTAATTTTACCAATTCTATGTCTGTTTCTTATATTAGTCATTGTTATTTACAGGGCATCGTCGATGAAGTAACTCAGATTGTACCAAGTTCAAGCGATGAGGAACTCAACATATCAATTAACACTGACGATGATGAGGAAACTGAGGAGCAGATCATTGAAAGGCGGCGGAAACAAAGAGAACAATTGATGAAGGTATAAGGCAATTTAGCTAACACAGATTTGACACCTCCAAATTATCTATTTATTCTCAATTTCTTCATAAAGTAGTGAAACACACACACATGATTAGCAATTTCATTTTACTGATCTTTTAATTTTCGTATTGTTTTGTAGATGCTAATTTGTATTAACCGATACTGACATCTTGAATTATATTTTTTGTAGCGGCTTGGTAGCGAAACTGCTGCTGGTAAAGCTGAAGAAGTTCCAAGAAAATCCGTCTCACCGAAAGATGCGAAAAATAGCGGAAGAAATGTTTCAGAAACTGTTACGGAAGTCCGAGTATTGAAAGAAGCTGAAACCAAAGATAAAAAATCGGCTAAAGAAAGCAAGTCAGATAAGGCTAACAATGACTTAACTCGGAATACGCATGACACAAAATCCGATACTAAGTTAGACAAGTCCATGAAGAGCGGAGAATGGGATATGTTTGCCGATCAAGATAACTTTGATAGTGTTGATGTGAGTAAAGTAAATGTTAATTTTTTTAGTATTTATAATTGATAAGTAAATAATGTGATGAGAACGGTTTACCCCGATCCTACAGGAATATCACAATAAAAAGTAGTGTCTAAGTGTTTTCATGACTGTCATCCAGCTGTCTTTTATTTATTTATTTACTTCTTCTGCACATTTAGCACAAAGCGAACTTAAAACCTAGGTCATTCTTTGTCAGTCTACCTTAGGGTGGTACAGAGGCATGACATGGTACATGCATAAGCTGTAATGCAAAACGACTGTTAATTAAGCTAACATACATATTTTGTGTATTAAAAAAAAATCTTGTATCTTTTAATGATGACAACGTACAGTTTGCAGTCAAATGCAAAGCTATTAAAACATTACGAAGGCCTATAATACATTTCTTATTTCACGGACATGAACACAGCAGATAACTCCTTAGCTGATATTCAGATTAGTGTAATAATGTGTGTTGGTTTGGTTTGTTGAAGCTATTAAATTCTTGTTTACAGACACCAACTGCAGGAAAGCCGAAAAACAAAAGCACAGCAGAAAACCCTTCGTTGACGGACAATTGGGACGACGCCGAAGGTTATTACAGGTCAGTTCACGAGTAGACATGTTTATTGTTAATGGCATGACTGCCATCAATTGACTGCACAGTACGCTATTTGTAGCCTCTATTCTCAGAAGGAAAGACATGTAATATGTACATATTATCCGGGGCTTATATTTTATGCACTGGTTTTTATTGCATCTAAACCACATAATAATTATCTTCAAACGCATTTCCGTAGAGTACGTATCGGTGAGATGCTGGATAACCGCTACACTGTGTATGGGTACACTGGACAGGGCGTGTTCTCGAACGTGGTGCGCGCCAGAGATCAGGCGCGCAACAACACTGATGTAGCCGTGAAGATCATCAGGAATAATGAGATTATGTAAGTATGCTCCATCTTTGCCATACGAGTCTAAGCTTTGCAAGAAGCTACTGGCTTCTCTACGAGAATGAAATATAATCAAACTGAATATCCAATAATAAAAACACAACTGATTTATACATTTCTCATTTACACAGGCACAAGACGGGGCTCCGTGAGCTGGAGATTCTTAAACGTCTTAACGATGCTGACCCAGAAGATAAATTCCACTGCCTCCGCCTGTTCCGTCACTTCTTTCATAAAAGACATTTGTGCATGGTGATGGAACCTCTTTCCATGAACCTTAGAGAGGTTCTCAAGAAGTATGGCAAGAATAGCGGCATACATATCAAAGCAGTACGGAGCTACACACAACAGATGCTGTTAGCTCTAAAATTATTGAAGAAAACTGGAATTTTGCATGCAGGTGAGCAAAAACCTCATCATATATTTTTTATTAGAGAGCAATGGCCTCTCTTGATCATTTTGTTGTATACCATAATCTATACATATTAATAAAATCACAGGAATGTCAAACCTGTACATTGGATATTTTCTTTAAAAGTAAACTTGGGGCATGATCTACAATCGATATTGCAGCCAAAAATATAGGTTTTAGAAATTTTGTCTGTTTTTTTTTTATTTACGGGGTCTTGTGTGTCTATACATACCTCACCTATGTAAGAGGTAAGAAATCGGGTCAACATATTATAGGCTACATATTGTCACGCTATTACCTGTGGGGCACGAGCTGTGAATCTTTATTTACGACGCAAGTCTATACATAATAAAATCACAGGATTAAAATCTAAAGCTAACTATAACTCTTTCTTTCCAGATATTAAACCAGATAATATACTCGTTAATGAAAACAAACTGATGTTGAAACTGTGTGACTTTGGGGCAGCTGGACATGTATCTGATAATGAAATCACTCCTTACCTCGTGTCACGGTTCTACAGAGCACCAGAGATCATCATTGGTGTAACATATGACCACGGCATAGATATGTGGTCCACAGCATGCACTATATATGAACTGTCCACAGGAAAAATAATGTTCAGCGGCAAGTCAAATAATGAAATGTTAAAATATTTTATGGATCTAAAAGGAAAATTACCAAACAAAATTATTAAGAAAGGATACTTCAAAGAACAACATTTCGATGCTAATTGCAACTTTATGTATCATGAATTGGATAAGATTACTGAGAGGGTAAGTTATGTTATCCTTTTAAAAACTATTTTGCTTACAGAATTAGATCTTATTAGACACAAAAATGGCCATGAATTTCACTTACCATTATTCAGATAACAGGTTCCATACTTCAAAATTGTCTTTAAAGTTGTTTGTGCTCACCTATCTTAATTATGCAACCGACAAACTTACTAAAAAAACAATATTATAACTATAATTATGTTACATATATTTTCTTTTTAACAGGAAAAGATCGTCATAATATCAAGTATAAAGCCAACACGAGACCTGCAGACTGAGCTTGCACCACCGCATCACCGACTTCCAGCTCCCGAAGCTAAAAAGATCACACAACTTAAAGATCTTCTAGAGCGCATGCTCATGTTGGACCCAGCCAAACGAGCTTCCGTGAACCATTGCCTGGCTCACCCTTTCATACAAGAAAAAATCTAATGTTCTGTATGGAACCTGTAATTATACAACATGTTAAAAAACCTTGTCCAATTCGTAGGGTATGGCCGATTACGGAGATCGGTAGAAGGAAATAATCCTGTTCACAGAATAAGTATTTGAGGAATCCTGACATTCATAACATATTTAAGTAATTTAGTTAGTATCCTAAGATTTGTCTTGTTTTTCTTTTTGCAATTATTATTGCACTACATTTTTTATTTTTGATTCTCACGATTTCGTGTTGGACAGGGTTTTTCTAGCAAAGTTTGATAAAGATTTGAATGAAAACCATCAAAACTTCAAGAAAAGTATTCCTTTTGAAAAGGCCGGCAAAGCCCCTGTAACTCCTCTGTTGCGGGCGGCGCTGATCGCTTACCATCAGGTAATCCGTGTGCTTGTTTGCCGCCTACGCCATAACAAAAGAGTAGTGTGGCATGATATGTTTTGAAAATTCCATAAACGTAGTAAAAATACAGAAGGATGACTATTCTAGCGGTAAAGCTACGATAAAACAAAGACTCTTGATTAAGATAACAATAATAATGATATGTATAAGGACGTTGAAAAAAAGGTGGACGTGGTCACTTGAAGCAACGACTGTGGCTACTGGCTACTTTAAACTTACACACGAAGGACATCTGTCGCGCGTGACATGGTGTTGCAATTTATAAACTTTTTCATTTTCCTGACTTGTGTAAATATTATGTAGTAGGCACGTGCCTACTAAACATAAAAACATAATTTTAATGTAATGTACGTACATTACATTAAGATTATGTTTTTATGTTTCATGGATATTTCGCGTCAAATAATATATGGAATTATTGTAATTATTTTACAAATAAAAACAAAAGAAGATAATTTGTAAAAACTATTTTGCAAGAACTGATATTTGCAAATGTGATAAAAGTGTCCTACTATTAAGATTAAATCAGTCCAAGTGTTAATATCAAGAAACGTTTTATTGTTATTAATTAAGAATCATTGCTTATTTTTGAAAAGATTTTTTTTCAAAGAATAATCTAATTTTATAGATATACTATATTTGCGCAAATCATACAACAATGCAAAACTACCTTCCTTATCTATATTTGAATTTAGTGCCACGGTTGTATAAGTTGAATTTAACCTCCTTAAATACTTATAATCATGGTAAAAAGCAGCACATAAAAATGTAACTCGATAGAACCTCTAAAAATTTATTCAAATTGTTTTAAATATGTATTTGGTTAATATTTCTTACGGCTGGTAACGTGGTAACTCGTTACACACACACACATACACACACACACACACACACACACACACATAAACACAATGCAGGTAATTTGGTACTTCAATCTTTTCTAAGTGACATTATGTCCGCCTTTTTTTCAACGTCCTTGAATATGTAATCGTAAAAATACTTAAACTGAATACTATCATTACCGTTTACAATTATTCAAACATAAATGTCTTTAAAAAGTGTTCAATGTTCGTATTTAGTGTCTAGATAGAAGCAACGAAAAAAAAACGTAATATTGGTAGGTACTTAATCTTTTTAATATCAATGTGTATGGTATTTGTAAACTGGTTAAATAATTAACCAAAAGTCGTCACAAAATAAGAGGTCACCTCTGACATCGTCATTCTTTGTATCGTTATATATAACCAATGATGTTATAAGTGAAAAGGTGTAGATAGGTCAACTAAACAACATTTGATCTTCAAAAACGACACACTCACGCGACAGCGTTGACATTGACTACGCAACGCTACTCTAAGGAATGTGTGGCGCGATCTTATCCCACGGCTGCCGCGGTGGCAAAATGGAGACGGAATTGTCAAAACGCACTGCGGCTGCAGGATCGCTGTTTTCTACGATTCCGCAGCCGCCGCAGTTGCCATTATCGCCCGCAAACTTGCCGGTCGATTATCGCAAGACTGGCGGCCGCGACTGATGAAGACTGGGGACAATCAGTTGAGTTCTAGACCAGCCGTCCCATTGCGATGGCGCCAACGCCGGCTAGCCTTCGCGGCTGCGGGACAGCGTCCGCGCCCTCCGGTGCAGTGGGAGCCGCAAATAATCGCAACCGCCGCGGGCGTAAAACGCGCCGTGAAAATTGCTTTTATTTTTTACATACATATCTGTAATCTACTTAAGCTGCGGGTCCGGAACCGAAGCGGGCGCGGGAGAAAATCGCGGCGTGAGTTCTTAGCCTTAATTTGCCACTTTCTAACCTATCAACACCTAAGACCTTCTATACGTACGTGTGATTCAGGAATTATGGAATGTTTACTTAATAAGGGATTTTCATCCCATAAGGGTTTGAAAGTTACTGAGGAACCCTAAACTTCGTATTCAAGGTTAAGAATTTAAAACAAATAAATAAAGTTTATTGTATAATCAAATTAATCAACCTCCACGCGAGTTATGTCGCGGGAAACGACTATACTCGGAATTTTAATTCGATTCCAGATTTGACAATTTCAGTGTTGCAACGTTATGACAAGTACTAAATAGTGACGTTGCGAAATTATTCGATATGGAAATGGAATATTTCCGGATCGATTTTTCTCGTTTATAATTTTACTCTCGTAAACTAAGTATATCAGGAAATTAAATATTTCTGAACCGATAATTTAGTTTCGACGATTAATTAACGACCTGAAACTTTTTTTTTATAATTGTGTGTGATATAAATAAAAAAATGTGATCATGAAGGAACATGATAAATGAAACAGATAGATGTATTATGGAAATATTTTGTGTTTATCACTACACTAGTATATGTGGTATCATTATTTCACAAAATGACAGTAGCTAATGTCAAATCTGGAATCGAATTAAAATTGTGACTATAGTTCAAAAAATGTCAATCCACAATGTGGATAACTATTTAGATCTTTTAAAAAAAATGTATCTTAATGTCAATGGTTGCTCAGTGCTATACACGCAATCTCGCGTATTTTCCGATTTGATGATAAAAAAATCTAATTACATATTTTAATTCGATTTGACTTAGAAATCGGCCAACAGCAACCGATTTTATTTATCTCCCACTAGGTACATGGTAGCCGTCAGAGATGCCCTCTTATATTGTGATAAATTCATATTCCAATTTCTATTGTAATACATACGTTTATAAAGTGATCTTCCTGTTTATGTGCTAGGTGGCCAGATGTCACTGAAGAAGTGGTTTTATTCTCGTGTTTTCCTTCTACATAATGTAATAAGTGTCTATTATAATTATTGGAATAGCCAGAAAACTTCTGTGTGTACTTATAATAATATAATACAGTAGTCAATTACCCCCTCCCCAATGCCACCTAGCGATAGTCTATGTTTTATCCTGGTTTCATTTTTGTAAATAGTCTATAGACTATTATATATATTTATATACTCATAATTTATAAATTATGAGTTTAGTTACTCTATACTTAGTTGTACTTCTAAATGGACATACTAGGTTACTGAAATAGTTTCAATTTATAGAATGTTTCTTTTATAGTTTCCTGGGATTTAAATTAAGGTGACTATTCATATTATGGATTCGGTTCTTCTCACTGAAATGATTTCATAGTTGGATTTTAATCATTTAACTACCGTTTGTTATTTCATTTCTTTTATCCATCTCATGAGATGTTGTTGACTCTGTACAGTTCAAGTGAATAAAATACATACTAATAAAATTAATAACTTTTGTTTAGTATACATAGGTATACATTCCCCTGTTGCAAAATTAATACGAGTTGCAGACTAAAAATTTAATTTACCTAATAAAAGTTCCCTGAGGTTTTGAGGAGATCAGGTGAGAGATTTTTTTTTAAGGTGTGAAAATCATCGAATGACTGCTCCCGCCTGGGTGAGGCGGAAGGGAGTGTCAGACTATTACTGACTAAAAACCACCCCGTTCCTTCCACTGCACGTCGAGCCGGAGCCCCGGTAACCCGTTAGGTTCTCGGCGACTCACCAAGTCACCAATGAAGTTTTGCCGCGACGTTACCGACGCGAAAACCACCGAAGTGTTAGCAAGTATACAAGGATAACCTCATACCCTCATACCTCATATAGAAGTTGTCTCCCGTGGGGGTTGGCAAAGACTAGAACGCCAATTTCTATGATTCTTCCATACCTATTTCTTTCGCTTTCTCAACGGTCATCAATATTTTCAAACTTTAAATTCGGCTCTTTAATATGTCGCCAATCTTGTCGATGCATGCCCGTCTAGGGTGCCCTTTGTCGACGGTTCCATTCTTATCCGCTTTGCATACTTCTTTCATAGATCCGCACCTATTCCAACCTTTCTTTTAGCAGGCCATACTGCTTTGTAAATGCGGTAGGCGATTTCAAACTTATAATTAAAATTATAAGCCCAGGTTTCCTCATGAGGTTTTCCTTTACCATACTAAGTACTCATAACTTAGAAAAAGTCACATTGATACTCTGCCGTTGGTAGGTTTTGAACCCGCACCTTCATACATGACAGAGTGTCTTGGTAAGTTTTTATTTTATTGTATAAGCAGGTAAACGACAAGACGGATCACCTGATGGTAAGCAATCGGCGTCGCCCATGGACACCCGGAACACCAGAGGCGATTGATTCGGAATTTGAGGTTTGTTGGCGCCTCAGAGTTTGGGGAAATTGGGAAAAGAGAGAGAGGGGGGGGGGGGGGGTAATTAATAATGTCCGGGTCATCACGACGATTAAGATCTGTCAATAGGTATTTTGGAAAGGAAATCGAGCTTACAACTGATATTTTATACCTAACTACCTGTTCCCCGCGACTTTGTCCGCGTATAATAATGGCTCTGGTAGAATTTAGACATTTTTGTTCGTCTTTTCCAAGGTTAATTCCAAAGCTGTGTAATAAATCTCATCACAATCAATTCAGTATCTAAGTTAAATTTATTGTGAAATGAATTTATTTTCGTGATTTCAAAAAGAAAAACAATCCAGGTGTTTCACCGGTACCTATAGTATCCGTTCCTGTAAGGTTAGAGCAATAAAAACTATTCTATGTCCTTTCCCGGGTTGCAAACCATTGTTGTGGGTACCGAATTCCAATCAAATAGGTTCAGTGGTTTAAGCGATAGTCCCGGAATTTTATCGCTTAATTTCTGTCCAGTGAGTAATCATAAATCCTATCCAGTGCCAGTATCTTAAACTAGCCTTGATTGAACCAAATTTCAATCAAATAAGTTCAGTATTTTATAAGATATTTACCACATACTTTCCATTATTCTGGGATTTCCAGTTCCAGATTATTACTCGTAGTAATAATGTGGCCTGATTTGTATCACTGCGATGCTAATAATTACCTAAAATAAAAGAAATTAGCAAACTTTGGACAAAAACACAGGAGTCCCTGTGTCGTCTAGGTAGGTTCCTGTTTCGGATTGGGCAGGAGGAAACGCCCGGATGTCATCACTGCGAGGACCACCCGGAGGACACGGTGGCGATGTTCTCTCCGTGGGCTGAGCACCGCCGGTCAGTCGATCATGTCAATCGTATTTGTCGTATCGGTCGTATTTGTCGTGTCGGATCTTGTTTGCCGTGTCGATTGTATGTCGTATCGGTCGTGTTTGTTGTATTGATCGTGTCTGTCGTATCGGTCGTTTTTGTCGTATCGGTCGTGACTGTCGTGTCGGTCGTGACTGTCGTGTCGGTCGTGTTTGTCTTGTCGATCGTATTTGTCGTATTTTTCGTGTTAGTCGTATCGGTTGTATTTTTCGCGTTTGTCGTATCTGTCGTGCCGGTCGTATCGGTTGTATTTGTCGTATCTGTCGTATTTGTCGCGTCGGTCGTACCTATTTGTTGCATCTGTCGTGTCGGTCGTATAAGTCGTATTTGTCGTGTCGGTCGTATTTGTCGCGTCGGTCGTATTTGTTGCATCTGTCGTGTCGGTCGTATTTGTCGTGTAGGTAGCATTTGTCGTATCGCTTGTGTTTATTGTATGGGACGTGTTTGTCGTGTTGGTCGTATTTGTCGTACCGGTCGTGTTAGTTGTATCGGTCGTATTTATCGTATCGGTCGTGTTAGTCGTATCGGTCGTATTTATCATGTCGATCGTATCGATCGTATTTGTCGTATCTGTCGTTCAGTCGTATTTGTCGCGTCGATCGTATGTGTCGCATCTGTCGTGTCGGTCGTATTTGTCGTGTACGTCGCATTTCGTCATCGTATCGGTCGTGTATGTGGTATCTGTTGGCTTTTTGTCGTGTCGGTCGTATTTGTAGCGTCGGTCGTATTTGGCGTATCTGTCGTGTCGGACATGTTTGTCGTGTCGGTCGTATTTGTCGTATCTGTCGTGTCGGACTTGTTTGTCGTGTCGGTCGTGTTTGTCGTGTAGGTTGTATTTGTCGTGTCTGTCGTATTTGTTGCATCTGTCGTGTCGGTCGTATTTGTCGTATCGGTCGTGTCAGTTGTATTTGTCGTGTCGGTCGTATTTGTCGTAGCTGTCGTGTCGGACTTGTTTGACGTGTCGGTCGTGTTTGTCGTGTCGGTCGTATTTGTCGTGTCTGTCGTATTTGTCGCGTCTGTCGTGTCTGTCGTCTCGGTCGTGTCTGTTGTGTCGGTCGTGTCTGTCTTGTCTGTTTTGTCTGTCGTGTTACATCTGCAAAATCATGAGAGGAATACAGAAAAAATTAACAAAATTATTTCACGCCAACTCAGTAATAGAGTAATTAATCAAAATAATTATAATAATAGGTCTGTACCTATAAAATTGCCAGTGAGTATGAACAAATGTATACGATTCTTTTCATTTATGGTTTATTTGTCGAAATAATCATGCGGTTCAAAATTCCTTCATTTGCGTGTCTGTTGAGCAGTGCAAGGCACATAACGACGCGTGCTTCGCGCTTGCAATCATTGAGTTCGTGGGGCACCCATTCGTGAAGCTTTTTTACCTTGCTAATTTGACGCAAATTTACCAATAACTTTTTTAAAGCTAACGTTGAAAGCTGCTGCTAATTCATTCGTAGATTGTGTGTTGCTTCCACAAACGTCTTTAATTCGTCATTGTCGACCAGGCTACGGACGTCCGCGAGTTTCATTTTTAAGGACGAAATTTTCAAAACGAAATCGAGCAAACAAATATCAGGTGGTGCGTTAACCGTACGTTAACCTAAAATTAGTATCATGTTTGTGACCAGGAAAACATCGGGTACCAATTTTTTTTATCTTTCGTAAACCTGCCCTTAATACTTTTAAAGAGCGTGAGCGAAACCATGAGCAGAAGCTAGTTCCATTAAGGGAAAATGATTTATGTTTTATAATTATGTTCTCGTCGAGTTTTCATTATTTTTAGATTAGATGTATTCTGCTATTCCAGGTGGGGACAAATCCAACGAACCAAAAACCATGAAAGGACAATGCCAGGTGCTCAGTACATCTTTGACCCACTTTATTAGAAGTCATGTACAAGTATGCAGTATTCAGCATCGTGTAGTGTATTAATTACCGATACCTAAACATTTGTCCTGAAACCTGTAAAACTTGCGGTTTTTGTTTAAAACACAACATTAATGATAACTATCGCGAAAACAACGGAAACGCAGAGAGCGACTGAAAGATAATATTGACACTGACAGCTGACAACTGACAAGCGCTTCAAAACGTTTCGTTACACAAAAAAAAATCATAACTAATGATAGTTATCGTTTCTTTTATATTTTCGTGATTTCATCTGTAATCATTAATAAATAAATAGATGTTATACATAATTATACTTTTGATATAATGTTTTATGTATAATAATATCTTTTTTACAGTTACTTTCTTATTTTCATAGTTTTGTACAAGCGATGCGTATGATGTAACGCAAATAGTCATTAGACAATATGGAAGACGCATTGCACAAAAGTATTTCCGGGATTAAACTTCTTTTTTTTTATTAGATTATAAACCGCAAGTTTAAAAATCAAAAGATTTATTGTGAAAAGGTTCTTTATTCGTCTAAATTATTTTCATCAATTTACTTTTTTTGTAAATGATATTATGACTGGGTCAGGAGCTGGCATTGTCATTTGGTATAGCCGATCTTAAGTGTTGGAACAAACCCGATTTTCTTTTATATATATATATATACTAGCGGACCCAACCCAACAGACGTTGTCCTGCATATCCACTTGAATGTATAAACAAAAATTCATTCAAATTAGTTCAGCCTTTTAGGATAACAAACCTAGACACCGACTGCAGGGCCATCTGTCGGGCTTATTTGTGAATCTAAACCATTCCCAGATCCCCTTGAACACACACAAAAAATTTCATCAAAATCGGTCCAGTCGTTTGAGAGAAGTTCAGTGACATACACACTCCTTGGTAAAAAACATGTTTTACATTTTCAAACCAATGAGTGTACAATAGTAACTAAAGACCATAGACGTATATTAAAAGTCTGTGGTAAAGATAGCATATCATAGACTAACTTTTATTCGTTTTGGTTTAGGGTATAAAAAAGTAATTTAAATGTACCATTGAAATAATAACACAGGTTTTTGTAGTTATAACAATTAATGCACTTTATTCATAATAATTAATAAATTTATAATATAAAGTAAGGATACCTAGCCGCGTCCATAAGTAAGTCACAACCATTTTATAAATTTCCTATGTAAAGGTTATGTATCAATGTTTTGATTACATATATCTTCATTTTTAAGATAAATATTTGTTACATCTGTCTTTACAACCCTTAATAAACATCTATTTATTAAGTCAATTATTACAAATTAATCTAAAAGTGTCTTGAAACCATAAACTTCTATTTAAAAATCTTAGAATGCACCAACATTTACTTATTCTTACATAATAATGATGGAATTGTTACTAATTACAGGATGTCGTCAGTGGAACATGTCTTCCGAGTTCGTAGACTATACAAACTGATATTCCGTGTGCACCGCGCTTTGCCCCCAGAACTCAGAATCATGGGTGACAACTATGCCAGAGATGAATTCAAGAGACATAAGAAATGTAACCCTGAAGAAGCTAAGATATTCCTCAATGAATGGACGGTATGTGACATTTCTCACTTGATTGAATTCCTTACCAAGGAAAACGTTGGAAAAAAGGCAGACATAGTCTCTTGAAACTACAACTCTGGTACCTACCATGCTTGATGCTACTATAGAATTACACGCAAAATATAAACCACTGATATTTTGGTAATTTGCTTTAATAATTTCTAAGTGACATTATCGTCTGCATTTTTTCATCATCCTTATTCCTTACATACTTTTTTAGAAGAGGGTCCTTTATTGCATCCTTCCGTCCTTTATTCTGTCTAAATATGGAAGATCTAAAAGAAACTGCGTTAAGAGATGGTTCAACATCAAGACATGAATAGATACAGAAGAGGAGTACATAGAGATTGGGACATATTATTTCTTAGTGACTGCCTCGTTGGCCGAGTGGTCGCAAGTGCGATTGCAGGGCAAGGGGTCTCGGGTTCGATTCCTGGGTCGGGCAAAGTATTACTGGGTTTTTACAAAATTCTCAGTAGTATTACATGGGACTCATAACATAAATAGTGAAAAGTGGGTGTTACATTATGTGTTATGTTTTATTTCTTAGTATCTAATTGGGGCAATTCTGTCTTCTTCTGTCTTTATTCTCGTCTCAATTTGATTACTGTATTGAATGAATTTTTATATGGTTTTCACAAATAGTTTGCTTACCAGTATGACACTGGGCGATATCTTTGATAGACCAAGTCCTATAAATAAACAAATAAAATACTTAAATGTATAATTAGTGGTGGTTTTTGACAAATGCAGGTTTAGTAAATCTATAACTGTTAAAATTATTCTATTAAAAAACGTTATGCTGGTTATAATAATTCTTCTTCAAATACATTTCAGGATTACGCGATAACATTGGCTAAACAGATGAAGCCTATACAACAAGCTAAAAAGAAGAAAGTTGGGGAATACTTAGACCCAAAACTGTTAGATCACATGACTGATGAACAGCTCGTTCAGTTGTATGAGCTCCACAAAGCTGCCACAGAGCCTTCCACAGATGAACAAAGTATACCAGATAAGAAATAATTATTGTATTACCTATTTTATGTAAATAACTGTAAAGTTGAGTATGGATTGAACAGAATATGAAAGACTAAATAATTATTAGTATATTTTTGTTACATGTATCTGACTGATTTGTAATATTCGTGAATTTGTTAACCTGGTATACTAGAATGTAGATCGATGCGAGACACAATGACTGTGTTTTTTTTTGTGTTTCATATACAAGAGGTTTTTTTAAACATTGCCCCACACTAGGATTATCTCCTGTGTCGTGGGTGCGTTTACAAACATATAAGTTCACATACACATGACAGAGTGTTGTTCCGTGCGGGATCGAACCCGCGACACGTTGCACGGCAGCCGGTTGCCCAGCCACCGCACTAACCATGCAGTCATAATAAGTAACAAATACAGTGGCTGAGAAACTGCCTGGGAACAATGAAGTGACTGAAAGTTACAAAATGTACACTGAGTGTGATGTATGTAATGTAGTGACAGCCAGTGGTGTACAAAATACCCAATGCAAAGTACCTGAAATGCAAAATGCAAGATCCTTTTAAATTAAGTATTTCAGATACCATATATAAAATACTATTGACAATGGTATCTAAAATACAGGTATATTTAAAATACTTTTTATAGATAAAATACTTGTCTAGAAAAATAACATTTGAATGAATGAAATTTTTTTTAAGTATTATAATGGACAATAATTATTAGGACCATACTAAAAATCTGAGATAAGATTCATTTGTTTATTTATCATACTTTGAGTGTCGTACGTTTTATACCCTCTATACCTACATATCATCGAAATCGATGGCTAAATGTAAAAATTGGTGTGTGTTAGTGACTCAATTCTTTTCGTTTGCACCGAAACCCAGGTTTTTAGAATATTGTCTTTATAAATGTCAGCTTCGAATCTGATCAGTTTATTTTTATTGATGAAAAGAATTTGAAAAGTACCTGTCTTATCTGAAAAAGTATTTGTAAAATACTAAGATACAGAACGAATGTATCTAATTAGAGTATAAAAAAACGAATTTTGAAAAAGTATTTCAAAAACAAGACCGAAATATGTATCTTGTATCTGTATTTCAGATACTTATCATATCACTACAATAAAGAAAGTCGCTATCCGCCGTCTGCCTGTCCTTATGTATGCTTAGATCTTTAAAACTGCGCAACAGATTTTGATGCTGTTTTTTTAATAGATAGAGTGATTCTTAAGGAAGGTTTATATGTGTAATACACGCATATTGCACCCGTGTGAAGCCGGGGCGGGTCGCTAGTATCTTAAATAAGTCACATCTTTGGGGATAGCAGAATTTATATTAAATTTGTCATCACTCATTTTCATCCTGAGCCCCCGAGGGTGTGTAGTAAGAGTGATGTAAGGGACACTTTTGTGGAGAAATAAAACTAGCACTCTATTATTAAATTAAAATTAACCTGCAATCTTTAACCTCTCTGATTGTGATTTTTTATGTTATTATTATCACAGTCAGTGTTAAATATTGCATAATTTTGTTCAATTCATATCTCCAGTAAGTATTGAAGTGTAATTCTCGAGATGCCTCGTTAACAAGTTTTGTACAGCCTTATTTATGTGATTTGCTTGTTGATTGTGAGTTTGAATGTAAATAGTATTATTGTCACATTAAATTATTACCTATTTAATATTTGTAGAATATTTATATGTAATGTACTAGTAAGTATAGATAAGTAGTTGTTGAATAGATAAATATGAAGAAAATATTGTCTTTTATTTCAAGTACAATTAAAACAAAATTTCAATTAGTGGTAATAAGTGTTTAAAAGTGTATGAAACGTATTGGATTATGGTTCTTGGATAGATGAATATTGAATAGAAACACAAAAAGAATCTCTCCGGCGGGGAATCGAACCCCGGTCTCCCGCGTGACAGGCGGGGATACTGACCACTATACTACCGAAGACTTGTGGACTTAGCATGAAATACACGTGTGATTGCTACAAGATAATATTATTCAGTAGGTTCAGGTGATAAATGTGTCTTCGTATATTATTTGTGCAAACACTTCGTTAGATGCATGTTCAAATACTTTTCCGCAGTCCCTGTTCCATTAAAGTATTTATATATTTTTTAAATAAAATAACTTCCTCATTGGCCGAGTGGTCGCAAGTGCGACTACCGGGCTAGGGGTCTCGGGTTCGATTCCCGGGTCGAACCAAGTATTCCTGGGCTTTTTAAAAATCTCAGTAGTAGGACGGAGTCTTGACATGTGCCCGGTATATATAGACTCACCCCCTATTACATGGGACTCATGTAACTCGTGTAAATATTGAAAAGTGGGTGTTACATTGTACAGTGACATCAAGTACCGTAATGTGCACCTCTGCCTGTCCCTTCGGGGATAAAAGGCGTGATGTTATGTTAAATAAAACAAAAATAGGTTTCATATCAAAATTTTAATTCGATAACTAAAAAAAACCAAAACAAATAGTGCGACGTAGGTATGTACCTATGACGCTTTATAATTTGTGATTTAGGAAATATACTAAAATAATCTAGGTAAGTAAGTACCGACTCGGTGGAATAACGATCCTATTATTTACACATTACCTATAAATGTATATATTTATTAGAAAGTAAAAAAGTATAATATGTAATTAAATATTTATTTTGAGTCAAGCGAGATCGTTGGAGTTCTTGTTCTATACACTGCACAATCACATGCATACTTTAGTACCTACTTAATGAGTACCGTGTGTGGATACATAGGTGTTTAGTTTTCTAGATGATTTACTGGAAATGGGACGTAAAGAAGATAATAGTTTAAATGTTGAATAAACAGTTTTAGTAAAAATAAGGTAAAATAAAGGTAACTAAAACTAAGTTTAGTTACATAATAAAATAGGTTACATTGGTGTTAAATATGAAAAATAGATCGAGACTAATTGATTTTCACATTTATGCTATTATTGGATTGCCAGAATTCGCCGTTACCTAATTGATTAGTTCTGTCGTTACCTAGGCTCGTACACAAGATAGACGTTAGTTTTAAGTATCAATAGAACAACAACAAGATTATAGGACTTTCTTATTCAATAATTCTTATTTTAAGTAGCTATTCTTAAACAAATGACAAATATAAGAAACTAATTAAAATAACAAATGCACTGAGTATTTATAGTGTTGAGAAAACTCACTATTATGACCAATAGCTTAGGTACTACACAACAAACTTATTAGAGTAGGTAGGTAAAATTAAAAGCTTGCTGAAAACGTCTTAACACCGCCTTTGAGGGTGCGTTTCCACAGAAGCGGAGCGGAGTTCAGCCGTTCAGCGGTGCAGGGTCGTGTGAATAGGTAGGTGTTTTTACTATAACTGCGTAGATGACCGGTGCAGGGCTGATCTGTGTAGCTGGGTGGAGTGGAGCTGAGCGGAGTTGAGACACCCAGAGTGAAGTTGAGCGGACAAGAGCTGAGACTAGCTGAGCGGAGCTCTTTTTTGGGACAAACCCGCCACAAACTCCCAAAATCCGCTGCAACTCCGGTATGCCAGGATTTACAGTAGACACAACCATGAATAAACACCGGAACACTGAAGTCCGGCGCGTACCAGGGACATGAATTACTTCTTGGATTCCGCAACGAAATAAATCAGAAGAAGGAAACGATAGTATTCACTTCTCCCGGTGAATTTATGCAGGAGACGGAATAACTTAAGTCTAAAGGCACAAAAAATTCTGCACGACTGGGAGAAGCCCGGTCACCAAGCTCCACGGAAAAATCTAAATGTGTCCTATTTATGAGCTGTTATAGGCACTTGCTTCCAATAATATGTATATATGGTGATGAAATAAATACATTACCTAACGTAGTGTTACGTTCACATTGCCAGAGATCACACTCCTACTCGCGAACTGCTGGTATTGCAACTCCGCTGTCGAATATTGATAATAAAGCAAATTGATTAGGTACTTTAAAGAACAACAATTTGCTCTACTAGTTTCGTGCCACCAAGGGACTTCATGAGCAGCGTGTGCGGTCCGGCGACTCGAGAGTCGTCCCGGACGTCAGTTAGAGCGGGCTCTACACTGAACAGCTCCGCTTCCCCCGGCATAGCTCAATTGAGCTCATCACCGCATAGCACCGTTTCACCCGGCGCAACTCCACTCACCTCGACACCACGTACTTTAATGTTAATATTTCAACTCCGCTGCCACTATTTCCACTGAATCGGAGCGGAGATGAGATGTGTATTTTGATTTGAGCAATGTGTTAGTCAATTTTTATAAGGCTCTGCTCAGCTCGGTGTAGCTTAGCGTCTGTTGAAACGCAGCCTTACCTACATACAAAAATAGAGTATTACCACTAGATAATATTCTATTTTGTATTTACATTACATACTAATGTATAAAACTATGCATGCCCACTCGGTATTAGCAAAAAACATATTTCAAGATATACATTGCACACTTCAAAATGTTGATAAAGATACAAGAAAAGTACTCATTTTTTAGAAACTCACGACACGTAAATGACTAACTTAACTCGTTGAGTACCGTCATTATAGACACAATTAAAGAACAATAGGTTGCGGTCACCGGTGTCCTCGCGGTGTTTGACAGTTTAATCCTTAATATAATAATTTTATCAGAAATCTTATCACAACCGTGAAGTGAGCTGGTTAAACTTTCACAAAGGTAATATTGTATTTTAACTAAATCTAAATGTAGATAACTATGTAGTTGCTATAAACTGCCGGTCGTTTAGCGATTTCGTACAAACTAAGAGGTAAATGGCATTGATTACCATAACACTGGTTTTTAAAACTACCAAAACATTTATGATTTTTTTTTTATGGTAATCTTGAAGACTGATCCCATTTTAAGTCAGACCTATGGCCCTGCATCAAGCTAAGACCACGCTGGGTGCCACAACAGTCCAGTCGATGTCAGCTCTCTTCTGAGTCCAATTGCAATCACAATCACCGCCAGTGTGTTTTTAGCACATAAATACATTCTTCAGCCACTGTGGACAATGTTTTTTTATTATTAGTGAATAATTAATTGTCATGTGTATTACTCATATTAATATTGTCTACAAATATGAGAACGTGTGAAAATAAGTATTTGTTACTGTTTAACGCAATTGCTACATAAACTTTCGTGACACTTTCAGTAGGTGTCAAGATAACGCTGATTGTAGACCATTTGTTATAATGATATTTGGTAATTGTTTAATAAGTATTATAGCTATCGTGAAACTTACTAACTTATTTAAAAACACTAGTTTACTCAAGTGAAATAATGAGAAAAGCTCTACTAGTTTTGAGTCACAGAGGGACTCTTCTTCATGAGCAGCGTGTACGTACGCGGTGACGCCTTGCTATGAAAGTAGAAGAGCTTTTCTCATTATTTCACGTGAGTAAACCGGTGTTTTAATTGATTAATTTGATATTGGGTAAGTTACCAAATTATTTTATGGAGATAATATTAATCAAAGTCACGGACAAGAATCTAATCTACTGTAATTTATATATCTACACCCACATAGATATTCTACCTAACACTACATAAGTATTATTATTTATACCAATTGAGGTACAGAAAAAGCAATTACTCCTGTCTAGACTACATTTTTTGTGGCTGCTAAATACCTGCCCAAGGATGGAGTTGAGGTAAAATATGATATCTAAATAGAAAAATAGATGAAATCGTTTGCAACATATCTTTTTGTATTACCTCATTAGTGTTTCATCGTCTGGATGTATAAAAAAATCGTTTTTCAAAGACGATTAATTTCCAATTTTCCGAGTAATTCTGGACCAATTGGTAGAAATAAGGTTTGACTTGCTACGGAAATCACAAACATTCTAGATGATTGAATTGCTTTACAACTTAGATAATTAGATATCTATCGTAGATTTGACTTTGAATAAGGATAGTTATCGATACTTTACTTTAGTGACTCTAATAAGGTTTTATTGCATAATGGCTACTCCAGTTCATGGGTGTGTTTACCCATGAACCCCGGGGCGAGATGATTAATGTAAGATGCTACATTAGTTGTATCTATAGTTTTCAAATCAAATAAAAAGTGTATCCTTAGATATCATAAAAAGCAATGTTGTTAAAAATTCTGATTTTACCTACCTCGGTTAGATTCATTTGGATACCTTCCGTTCGAAGAGTGTTGCTTTTGTTGAATATTTCTGAAAGTAAAATTACGGCTTTCAAATGACAAAATTACTGACACATACACAGTTATAGGCCAAAAGATAAGAGTTCTTACCAAAAGCACGGTGTAGATGCATAACAGCAGAAACGAAATCGCCGAATCTTAACATGCCGTCTTTCCTCATATATCTTAACACTAGAAGGTTCATTACTTTCTCGGGTACTATGAAACCGACATCTCTTAAGGCGTCCCGAAATCTTTCCGCTCTGAGAACTCCCATTTTCTCTCTTGCATGCGTCCGGAAGACAAGTTGCCAATGTTTTAAACTGCACATGAGGTCCTTGAAGTCTGACAGCGATATGCGACCTGTGCCTTTTTTCTGTGATATAAGTTAAGGAATATTTATAATATATTGCAAACGCATTATTAAAATGGTGTTGTAGGCAAAAGACCTAGTGTTATGGTTAGCAAAAATGGCTAAATGTACTCTGTTTTTATATATGTGTTGTCCTCTGTGTTGAATGTGTGTACATAAATAAATAAATAAATAAAGTACAGTACGAAGCTATTCTTAAAATAGGATTATTATAGGATACTATAATTTAGTTTTGGTATTGAATTTTGAAAAGGATACATCTAAAGACAAAACAATTTGTCTACACGTGTCTATGGAAGCACAGCTCTTGATGTAGTCGTTTGGAAGGCAGGCATCTAGTAATTCTTGCAATTCAAATGGGTCTATAGTCTTGTGTTCATCGGCTAATTGGAGAAACACCGCTTCGTACTGCGCAAAGCTGTTTACTTCAACTACCGGTGGTGCCTTCACTAAAGCAGTCTTTATCATTTTAGGGGGATTGTCCAGAACTTTCATCTTAATTGGTTTGTTTGAGAATATTCTTAATGTAAAGTTAGCTTCGTCGCGTGGCTCGAACGTTGTAGGCATTATAATAAAGGAACTTGGTTCTAATGGTGATCTGGAAGATGAAAATTATATTTAGACATAGTCCAATAATAACATATTATTGTACCAGACGTTTCTTACACATCTGATGTAACTTACCTGTGTGTAACCTGCCGACTATTTGTATATTGTGAATTGATAGTACTTTTTACTTTCCTAAAGAATAGGGCTTTCGCAGTCTCGTTTAGGGGTGCAGGAATTTTGTAAATACTAAATCCAATGACTTTAGGTTCCATAATGCAGTGCTGGTTCAGAGATATAATGACAGTATCCGGTTCAGATAAGATTATTTGTATTTGGGGATTTGTGTGGAAAAAATCTGTAAATAAAAAAACATTTTTATAGTTTTAATGAGGCCACTCATATGTTTATATCGTGTTGTTTTAAAAAAAAATATAATCACATCATTTCTTTTATATGCGTTACGAAATACTACTCACGCACGTAATTGCGACATCCTCCAGCCGAGACCCCTCTCTTCCATCCAGATTGGTGCATCTTCATTTGCCATTTGAGTTTATCAGCTAAAAACGGTTCTGCTCTACAGGTTTCCGAGTCTAAGTGAACGATTTCCACGCGAGTGAAAACGCGTTGAAAATCAGAGAAGAGCATCCAAATTCCTTTGGGCGTTGATATGAATCGATCCCGTTCTTGTTGTGGTATTGTGTGCCACCTTGAAAAATTAAAGGTAAGTTTTTTTTAATAGTCGTGTTCAACTTGCCTGCATGGAAGTCATCGGAGGAATCCTATGATTCGCAGTAGATATTTTATAACTGTAATGGTAACGATAAATACCATAAGATAATCGAAATTTACGTTGTAGCCAGGGCATGATGACCTCATACGTCATTTAAAAAAAACCGATCCCATTGTTTCTTGCCTTTAACTCTGCCCTTGTTCATTGTTCCTCTATAGTGAAATTTCTGTGCTGTTCTGACCTTTTATCACTTTTCACTTACGTATTGAACTTAAAAACAATAAGAAGTACGGGTAGTAAAGAACTTACGATTGTGAATTAAGTACAATGTAGGGTACAGGTACTACTCCAATACTAAGTGGTCGACGCACTCGTACGACGTGTACAGGACCCTTAGTGCTTTCCACCTGTAAAGTTACGAAATAGTCGTAAGAATGTGTAACCGAGAATCACTAATCCTTATACTTTAATGAAAAGTCAAAATTTCACTAAAACTAAATTTAATAAAACGTTTACCTGTTCCACGTTCAACACCACGTAATTCATTTCTGTTTGAAGCTCGGGAATTTTGTCCTCGGGTGCCTGGAAGAAGTTTTTAAAAACACTATGAGTTTATTGCTTAGGTGATACTTATGTAGGTGAAAAAGCCCACATTTTTAATGAATTTTCTTGTCTTGTGTATAAACAGTTTTCGTGCAAGAAACATCAGGGACATATTTCACATCCATATGTGCACGAATAAGTTCTTTTGCAATGTCATTCGCATTTGCACAATACGCCCGCTATTGAAGAGGTTGATTACCTTTGTCGTGGTTACATTGGACGTGATTGATTGTTGGATGGACTAACTTCGTCAACAAACTTCTGTGGTAGTAACACTTACAGCGGCCACATGGTGTGCGGTAACTAGACTCGTGTTCTTTAGCAAGTTCTTCAGGGTCTCAGCATCAGCCAGTTCGGTCATCTGCAGTGACTCGGTAATGCCCCCTGTAAGGTCCGCTAGCCCGTCCAGCAAGCTCCCATATTTCAAAGCCTCGTAGGACCCATGCAATCTGGCAATAAAAATTAATACCTTAATAATTTATTTGTTTTTAATTTTAATAACATAATGCAATTTTTTTTCGGGCAATCAGGCTACAGACCTTCGGTTTTAACTGTGCAGTTTAACTGTACTGTCGAACTGTACAATTCGTAGGTCTTGCGATCTTTTAGTTTTGTTATGATGACCTTCATAGACGACGCTTTACCACTTCATGCTCGCTATAATATAACTGACGAAACTGTGCAGTTTTGACTATACGCTTACAGTATTAACTGTAATGTAGTGTACAGTACAATTGTATCCGTAAATATTTATCTTTTTATATTTTGTTTAGATTTAGTTCAACTGCTTGATTTATACAATCAATGATTTAACTGTACAGTTCGATTGTACAGAAATGATAGAAAATGTTAAATAAGGTTTTTTAATGATTTATGATGTTTCTATTCTAAACTTACTTGGCGTAAGCCTTTTCCAGTAGTGCCGGCCACATCTGCTCTGTGTGGTTGCTTTGGAGAAATGCCAAATTTCCATTAACTGTTGGCAAACGATCGTCCACAAGCACCTCAAGCCATTGTCCACACCACCAGAGTCGAAATCTGTAAAGAATATTCGTGTATTAACCTTAGGATATTAAACTTTGACAAAATGGTACAAATCTAAATGTGAAATGCAAAAATATTGTTTTAGAATTCATGTTTTTTTCCAAAATGGACACTACGAACCTGAACACACCAGCATAGGCTTCGTCAACTCTCTGATCTGCCGGTACAACTCTGTAGAAAAGACCTTTTGTGATGTACAGGACGCCGAGACAGGACACCATCCATTTGTCTCCTGCAAAAAAAACAAATTATAAATAAAAACTACTAATAAAAGAATTTAGACGCAGCATATTAAACGAAATATATCTATGTATTATACTTCAATATGTACTATAATTATAGGGTTCAATGAAAAATTTACATTTGCGATGTACAATGATTAAAATAGATCTTGACATTTCATCACATGAGCCCTGTTGGCCCAATAAACGGATACCGTTAAGTATATATCGTTCGCAAGTAAGTCTTAGCCTAGATCATAGCCATTCAAAGCATGCGCACGCTCAAGTAGGTCGTGAGAGTGGACAACGGTGTTCATTATGTAATTATGCACTTCTAGAGACGGTGTAATCAACTTAGATATCAACTTTCTTCCCTTTTACTGAATTTCAGCTTTGAGCATTTGAATATGGTAAAGTTAATACAAAAGGAAACCTGTATGGAAATATGTATTTATAAACCTTCTTTCTTAACAGTTACGCCTACACAATACTGTGGCCGCCTTAACAAAGCTGGCTTCATTTATGAATGAACCTCCTGTAAACAATAATTCCACAAACGTTTCTATGCATAATGTCCGTTGCTAACCATTTTAAAGACAAAGGCTCAATTCATTTTTATGTTTCAAACTCCCTCACTCCCCTTATATCACTCCTGGCATCGTTTATTGTTATTTGAATAATTATTGTGGATATAATATAAATATTCATATCTATCATCCATGTACCTATATAAGTTACAGTCGGAGAAATGCTCAAAGGGACTCTTTATAATAATAGATAAAGTACTGCTTAATAAATATTAGCTTTAAGCTACTGCTGGAAAAGATAATAAATATTTTATTGATAGATTTTTTCTGCATACATATAGATTAAAATTATGAATGCAGATTACATATAACTGATTAGGAACAAGTTTAATGATGAATGTCGACCACATCACTAGCAAGGTAAGATAAAAAAGATAACAATTTCGATAGATTTTTCATCAAATATTATTCAGGCGTCCGATATTCCGGAAAACCAAGAGCAAAATCAGAAGACTGCAGTGAAGGCTGTTTAACAAAATCTGAATAGATAGTAATTTGTAGAAACTATTTACCATATTTAATTAGGTACATACATAACGGTGGTGAAACAAGCTCTAATTTTTTTTTATACCACGTCTGTGGCAGAATATCGCACGACCCACCTGATGGTAAGCGGTTACCGTGGACTATGAACGCCTACAACACTTGGGGCATTACATGCGTCTTGCCGAGCGACCCTTAAGAAACATATTCACTCAATATTTAGTACGTAACAATGAAAAAAGACGGATCACTGAGCAGTGAGGCGTACGGTCTATGCAGTTCATGCAGTTAGAACATCTGCTGTAATTGATAAATTGGCATGCTGAAGGTGATTGGGCAAAAGTCTTCGGAGACGAAGAAACGTAGAAACATCCTGAATCGCAGTAATTTTCGCAACCGAACCAGTGCCGAAAAGAACCGACTAGTTAGGTACACGGTTGGTGCGGTGGCCGGGCAACTGGCTGCCGCGCAACGTGTCGCGGGTTCGATTCCCGCACGGAACAACTCTTTGTGTCATCTACAGATTGTTGTTTCGCTTTTGGGTGTCATATGTATGTGAACTTGTGTAAACGCACCCACGAGCTGTGGCCCACGACACAGGAGAAATTCCTAGTGTGGGGCAAAAAAAAAAATTGAGAAAAGTGGTATATTATTAAAAGGATCCACGATTTTGGTTATGAATAATATTTTTATGATTCCAGCAGGAATTCTGGAGACTGGTATGTTTGTGTACTAAGTATTATATGTACATTATAGAATTAATATAATTTTCCAAGCTTTATCTATGATATTCATGCCGTTTGGTGCAGTGTTTTTTGCATAATTCCGTTACAAACATAAAGACAGACAGTCAAAAAGTTTAAAATCGGATGATTATCGGCGTTATGGATATCTGGGCTAAAAAGTAGGTACATTTTGCTTCTCTTCCAAGCAACATTCCATATTTATACCAAATTTTCATCTAGATTGGTGGAGTAGTTTTTACGTAAAGTGAAGACAGACAGACAAACAAAAAAAATACTGTGACTCCTGCTGCTGAGGTAAAGAATTAATTTAGAATTTTTACCAAAATCTATAAATAATAAAAATAAAAAAGTACCTACTTACTTAATTTTCTCATTTTTTATGCATCTTATTAACGTTTAGACAAGAAATTGATAAAAAATTAAATTGAATAAAAAAAATAAAGGCCCCCCTTTGCATAGGTACATATTTCAGATAGACTAGTTTGTACCGACAGATTTCATCTCGCGCTGCCGCTCGGAGCGCGGGATGAAACCCGTCTGACGATACTATCCAGCAACGCCGAGAGCTCGCCGCGAAATTAGGGCCTTTGAACGCATAGGACAGTGGGAAAAACTATCGACAACTAAAATATTATTTACTAATATTTTTGTATTGAGACTTACAGATGTAATAATATTTTTGTGAAAGATAGAGATATGGCAGATGCTTCTGCACTTGGGGTTTTGCCATTCACAAAGCCTCGATAAGTATTGCTTCATATTAAAAATTTATAAGTTTTGAGTGAGTAAAACCGAAGTAAAACTAATTTCTTATGTTGAATGAGCATTTGATTGGTTTTCCAGGGATTTCGGTAAGTTGCTTTTTTAATGGCTTAAGCTGGTAATCGAACAGATGGGTCACCTGATCGTAAGCAATCGGCGCCGCCCGTGGACACCTAAAACCAGAGGCGTTATAAGTGCATTACCCGCTTTTTGGGAATTAGGGATTTGAGGATTGTTGGCAATCCCCCCCCCGATTGGGGGATATTGGGGAGGGAGGTAATTGTGCCTCCAGTAACCTCACCCACACGACGAAAATTAAATATAACGCAAGTGTTGTTTCACGTCCGTTTTCTGTGAGGCTGTGGTATCACTCCGGTTAAGCCGGCTCATTCGGCTGTCGTATACTTAACTTGGCTCTGACGTACTTGTACATATTTTATTTTCTTATTTTTTAATTATTTCATTATTTTGCTTCGTAACTTTGTAGTCGATACGCTGTTAGCGCACGGAGTTATCCGGGCCTATTGTCGATAGATTCAGTGACATTCGCAGTAGGTTCCTACCGTTTAACTCCGGTATATGTATAGTTATTATATTATGTGCCAATCAATATTTAAATTAAATAACGGGAGTTTTGTTCTTTTTCACATTTTTAAACCCATTCCTAAATCAGTTACAAAGAAAAAAAAAACTCGGTTAGTAATAATTATCTGAATTAAGAAAACTCGTCGAGAGTTGATTCAAAATGCAATATGCTGAATGCAACTTACATCGTTTTAAGTAAAACGGAAAATTTAAAAAAAAATATGCAAACGTCATGTTTTCATATTACTTATGTAGAACTCAACATAATAATATTATAATAAAATGTATAGTGACAAATTTACTATTTCTTCAAGGATAATGTACCTTCATACCTACCTACAGAGTTTGAATGAGTATTGTTTTTCATTAAAATACTTCAATCAATGTTACGTAACCCATTGATTTTAAATTGGGATAATATTAAGGTCCAATTTTTATCAGATAATAATTTATTAAATATTGACATTGAGTCGGCCCCAAGGGCCGTTTTTTCCAACGCCATATAAATTTTAACTGAGAAATAACTGAATAATTGTCAATTCTTCCATACTACAAAGAGTCAAATGTCAATTTTATTCTACAGTTAGGAATTGACTGATAATTGAAAAATCGACCCTAAGAGATTATAATAAAATGTACCTATTGATTCATAGGTACTCGAGGAAGTAGTCGTAGCCATTGTATGGTGTCTGATGGGGCGGGAGGAAACCCCCAGGTGTCATCACTGCGAGGACTGCCCTGAGGACACGGTAGAACACATTGTAGCGGAATGCCCTGCGTGGGCTGAGCACCGTCGTGCCGTCGGGGACGTGATCAGCGATGGCTACCTCTCACGTGGCCCTAGTGCGGGTCATGATGTGGATCGAGGGGGCCTGGGATGCCATCTCCTCCTTTTGTGAAGCAGTCATGCTAGCTAAGGAGGAGGCGGGACGCGGGACGCAGCGAAGCGCTGCCTCCTCGCAACCCAGCCATCACGAAGGACACTCCGGGCGTCGGGGATCGCTGGACGATCTCCCTCCACCGTAAGCGCGGGCCTGCGGACGGCAAGCATGGGTGGCTCACCGCCCGACCAGAATCAGACCCGAGCGTAAGGCGCGTTGCATTCCACGCGCGCCTCAAAGAGCCATCAGACCACCACGGATGGGGCCCAATAGGGCTGATGCCGATTCTTAGTCGCGGAGAACCTAACGGGTTACCGGGGCTCCGGCTTTAAGTGCAGGGGAAGGAACGGGGTGATTTTTAGTCAGTAAGAGTCTGAGACACTCCCTTCCGCCTCACCCAGGCGGAAGAAGTCATTCGATGATTTTCCCCCCTTAAAAAAAGCCATTGTATGGTTAACTTTATAATTTTTTTAGTGGCAAAATTCTTTAGTGTTTATACATTAATTCACGTCATTGAAGCCATCTTACGTGAAATCAATTCACATGCCTTTCTGAATTATTTTCATTGATATATTACTTAATAAGGGAGAAAGAGCAGTCGGTCTGAGACCACTTGGTTTCAACGCTACCTTAGTAGGTATGTAGTTAATGTAAAAAATTTGAATGAACTTATAATACGGTAGATGATTAATTTTTATTTTAATGTCCGTATGGAAGATTGTTTAAAATCATTAGACACATATTTTTATTTTCTTACGGACACAGATACTTTTGACGATATTTTACTATATAATGATTTAAAATTTCGCATGACGTTACTTTTGTATACGTTTTATACTTTGGTTGGTTTTAATGTGTCGTATACGACAAAATTAGAATAGGTACATCCCTATTATATAGGTTTTGTAAAAGTAATAGTCCAAATAATATTTTCTCGAGACATGAAACCAATGAGTGAGGTTTACCA